TTCGGCATTTCGGAATTTCGGGACTTTTCTTGCAGCCGCTAAGTAGCTAACTTCCTAATTCCCTCGGTATTAGGGAGCTATCTACCAAAAGGCTGAAAGATCTAAATTGGTCTTTAAGCCAAATTTACTAATACTAAGTAAAGATTACTTAGTATTAGTAAATTGTGCCCCTATTCCCTATACCACGAGTAGGGGCATGTCTATTAAACAGTGAGCAGCCTGAGGCTGCTCACTGTAAAAAAAACAAAAAAACATACCCCTGCCCCTGAACGGAGGGTGGGGGCCCTAAAGTAAAATAAGGGGGGGGACCTATTGTTCCCCCCCCGGCCCCCACCCCTGAGTGGCAGGTGGGGCCCCTAAAATAAACTAATGGGGGGACCTATTGTCCTCCCCCTGGCCCCCACCCATGAGCGGCGGGTGGGGGCCCTAAGTTAGAATAATGGGGGGACCTATTGTCCTCCCCCATGGCCCCCACCCCTGAGTGGGTGCCCTAAATACCAATAATAGGGGGACCCTGAGCGGCGGGTGGGGGCCCTACATTTAGAATAAGGGGGGACCTATTGTCCTCCCCCCAGCCCCCACCCCTGAGTGGTGGACGGGGCCCTAACTATCAATCACAGCCCCAGCCTATTGTCCTCCCCCAGGTCCCCACCCATGAGCGGCGGGTGGGGGCCCTAAGTTAGAATAATGGGGTGGACCTATTGTCCTCCCCCTTGCCCCCACCCCTAAATGGTGGGTGGGGGCCCTAAATACCAATAAGGGGGGAGACCTAATGTCCTCCCCCCTGACCCCCACCCCTGAGCGGCGGGTGGGGGCCCTTAATTTAGAATAAGGGGGGGACCTATTGTCCTGCCCCCACCCCTGAGTGGTGGGTGGGGCCCTAACTATCAATAAGGGGGGACCTATTGTCCTCCCCCCCTTTTTTGTAGTTTATTTTTACAGCCACAGGCTGCTCACTGTTTACTAGACATGCCCCTACTCGCGGTATAGCGAGTAGGGGCATAATTTACTAATACTAAGTAATCCTTACTTAGTATTCGTAATTTTAGCTAAAAGATCAATTTAGGTCTTTCAGACTTTTAGTAGATAGCTCCCTAATACTGTGGGAATTAGGGCATTATCTACTTATTCATTCCTTTTATTACATTGACAGGCTAAGTAACTTACATTTTATATGAATGTGTGTTACTTGATTGTTGTAAGTGTTGCAAATGATTACAGCTGAATCCTGGTTAAGTTTGTATACTTTTTATTTAAAACAGGCAATACTGTGCTCTGGCACTTCGACACATCGGAACTTCAGCAACTTCGGAACTTCGACACTTCGGAAATTCAGCTATTCGGACATTCGGAAGTACCCGAATGTCCGAATTTCCCGAAATTCGTCCGAATTCAAATTCGGACCAAAACGAATTGCACATGTCAAGTGGGATGCTGAGGAAAGGGGGTAAAAGGATAGGGCTAGCCTCTGCCCAAAGTGAGCAGGCCCACCCAGACAAAGTTTGGGTCTTCGCAAATTACTTGCAGGTCACTGAGGGCAGACCCCATAATTTGCTCTGCTTCTTAATGCTATGAACATAGCAGAAGTTCTGTTGCACTTGCGCTATCATTGTTAGGAGCAAAGTCGGAACGGTGGGAAAAAGTGAAAAACTAGACTCTCCTAACGAAATCAAGATGGTTGGGAGGCTGTATTCAGGTAAAGCAGCATTCATTAAACATGCGGTTAATAATATGCTCATCTGGTGACACCAAATCATTCCAGGCATGAAATACGCATTTTTATAAATTATTTTGGTGACAAATTCTTTTGGAGTTTAAGATAAGTCCATACTGTTAGAGTTCTGCTGAGTGTATTTTTAAATATGTTTTAAATGTATGTAATATATAAAGCTTCATTAAACAGCAAGCACTAAATATTTTCAAGGGCATGTTTCATTTCTTTGGGGAAATGCAATTTGATAGCATCCTGGATCGCCATATCACTGGTGTAAAAAAATACTGTATACTGACAGAAGCTTTAATTATTTTCCATGAAACACATCTTTTTCGCTTTAATTTTTTTGTGTTGCTGATAATCTGTAGTTTTCTGTTTGTCTTTGCAAAACCGGCAAATGATATGAGAGCCAGTTTTGCATGTCTAATGAGAAACCGCTCAAAAGAAAGAAAGCTTTTTTTTTTTTGCTTTTTTTTTTAAACAGAACATGCAGTGCTGTTTTAGATGTGGCAGCAGAAACAGATTCCTAGCTACAAATAGGTTCTGTCAGTTACAGTGTGCTTTTTTATCTTGGATTTTCCTGAAGAAACTTGGATTAGCATAATGAGAATGTTCATAAACCGACTTATTAGAAAAATGCAATGCATGAACAAACTGATATATCAGACAATGTCTATGTTTATTAGACTTTTCCGTGGAAGAACAATATAACGTGTAACACGTTTTCCTCTTTTTCAGTTTCAATTCAATGGGGAACAAAATGTGTTTGAGCAAAAGGGACACTCTAGCCATCAAAACAACATTAGCTAAATTAAGCTGTTTTGGTGTGTAGATCATTGGCCTACAGTCTCACTGCCCGGTTTTCTGCCATTTGAGAGTTACATCATTTTTGTTTCTGTTTATGCAGCCCTAGCCCTGCCTCCCTTGGCTGTGACACACAACCAACATAAAAAAAAGTTTTTTTTATCTTTTGTTCTGTTCACACACAAGGCTCCTCCAGGCTCTAGCAGAGATAAGGCATTTCTAAATTAAACATACTGTGCAACAAAGGAAATCTAAAAATGAGATCTATCTTTAGATTGTGTGTAGAGAGGCATGGTTAGGGCTGCATAAATAAAATTGTTTAAAAAACAAATTTCTGAGAAATAATTAGTGAGGCAGGGGCATAATCCATGCACCCAAACTGCTTTATTATGCTTAAGGTTTTTTTTCTTTATGATGCTTAGTGTCAGTGGTGCTTAGAGTGTCTCTTATTATATTTTTTAATATCAGTGGAGTACACACCTCTGGAATTCAAAAGGTCAATGAGGACAGATTCAGTGAATGGCTTCTATTTCATATGGTGTAAGGATAATTATTTGAGAGGGTTATGGTATTTACCTACCCGCAGTGGCGGAACTACACCGGTCACAGGGGTCACAGCTGCGGGCCCCTGCGACCATTGCCGCCGCCATGTGTTGCAGCCCCGGCCTGCGTGGTAGAATCGCCAGGGCTGCATTGAATGCTGTTAGGGCCTCCCGATGGCAAATTATTACCACTTTAACTGCATGACCGGGACCCCTCTAATGAGATCAGACGCTGGGAGGAAGTAACTGCCCCGGTCACTTCCTCCCAACAACTACCGGGAACCACGCGGGAGGAAGAGAGGAGGGAGTCAGAGTGGGAACTCTTGACTCCCATCAGCCTAAGCCACCACTGGACCCCTGAGAAAGTCACCCTCCTGCACCTAAAAGTCACCTCTCACTACCAGCCCAATCATTCCCTGGGCTGTGAGGATTTAAAAATAAGAGCTGGTGGGTTTTGTGCTGTTTGCCTGTCTAACCCATGCACTGGCCTATTGGATGGGGGAAAATGGTAAAATAAAACAATATGGGGGATCTGCTAAACGTGCACGAGGGGTATATAAACATGTGGATAGTCATTGTCCACCTAATCCTGAACCCCTGTCCCTGCCCAAATGTGATGGGTGAGGGATTAAATGACCACTGATATCCTCTGGAAGGGAGTACAGTTATTCTCAAGGGAGGCTTACCAATAGGGAACCGACAAGGTGAAGTTTTTAATCACCTGTTTGAGGGATTAAGTCATTATTAATGGTATGTCAGGTCTTAATGCATTGGTTATGTCTTATGCTGATATGTCTTATGCTGATCTCATTTTTTCTAGTTCCTGTTAGCCCACATTAAAGGACCACTATGGTGCCAGGAAAACAAATTTGTTTTCCTGGCACTATAGAGCCTGTAGGTCCCCCCACACTCAGGGTCCCACTCCTGCTGGGCTCAAGGGGGCTAAATGGGTTAAACTTACCTTTCTCCAGTGCTGGGCTCCCTCGGCGCTGGGGAATTCTCCGCTTCCCGACTGCGCATGTGCGGCAAGAGCCGGGCGCGCATTCTATCAGTCCATAGGAAAGCATTACTCAATGCTTTCCTATGGACGTCCAGCGTCTTCTCACTGTGATTTTTACAGATTTTCGTGGAAGCGCCTCTAGCGGCTGTTAGTGAGACAGCCACTAGAGGCTGGATTAACCCATTTGTAAACATAGCAGTTTCTCTGAACCTGCTATGTTTACAGCTGCAGGGTTAACACTAGATGGACCTGGCACCCAGACCACTTCATTGAGCTGAAGTGGTCTGGATTCCTATAGTGGTCCTTTAATCTGTGTTGTTCATGAATTGTTTTGTTTATCGGATTCATAGTATCTCACAGACAATGGCATGGAGGACCGTAAATAGGTGGACAAAGAATAAGGGCAGATAACTCCTCTATAATTTAGCTTAACCATTACAGCTCCCCATTTCCAACTGGTGTAAAGAAGGGTGGGTTTGATTAAATTTGTGGACCAAAGTCATGCCAATACACTCAACTTACCTCAATTCATACTCTTATTTTATTTTTATTTTTTTCTGGTGTTCGTGGAAATTATTTCCAGTCGTTGTTACTAGATTACACCCTGTTCCAAATTATTATGCAAATGATATTTTTCTCATTTACCTAAATAATTGATGTAAATAACAGTCAGCATAATTCTCATGTTATCAACTATTAAGAGTACAATTCAAATTTTATTGAACAAACCTCCTAATGATAACAGTATTTTTTTAAAACATAAAAAAACTTACAATGCACTGTTCCAAATTATTACGCGCAGTAAGTTTCAAAATACTTTATAGGTTGTAAAGAACTGAAAATTGTCATTTGTTGTGTTTGCAGCACATTTACTGAAATCAAAAGCTATTTCAAATCAAACTTATAACAACATTTTAACTTTTTAAACATTTTAACAGGTCACGTTACATTTTAACATAGGACCCCTTATTTGATAGCAGCTGCACAAGTCTTGCATCCATTGAACTTGTGAGTTTTTGGACAGTTTCTGCTTGAATTTGTTTGCAAGATGTCAGAATAGCCTCCCAGAGCTGCTGTTTGGATGTAAACTGCCTCCCACCCTCATAGATCTTTTGCTTGAGGATGCTCCAAAGGTTCTCAATAGGATTGAGGTCAGGGGAGGATGGAGGCCACACCATGACTTTCTCTCCTTTTATCCCCATAGCAGCCATTGATGCAGAAGTATTCTTTGCAGCATGACATGGTGCATGGTCATGCATGAAGATGATTTTATTATGGAAAGCATAATTCTTCCTTCTGTACCAGGGAAGAAAGTGGTCAGTCAGAAACTCTACATACTTTGCAGAGGTCATCTTTAAACCTTTGGGGACCCTAAAGGGGCCGACCAGCTCTCTTCCCATGATTCCGGACCAAAACATAACTCCACCACCACCTTGCTGACGTTGCAGCCTTGTTGGAACAGTGTGGCCATCCACCAACCCTCCACTACTCCATCCATCTGGACTATCCAAGGTTGCACGGCACTCATCAGTGAACAGGACTGTTTGAAAATTAGTCTTGATGAATTTTTCTGCCCAATGCAGCCGTTTCTGCTTGTGAACATTGGTTAGTGGTGGCCGAATAGAAGGTTTATGCACAGTTGCAAAACTCAGGAGGACTCTACACCTTGATGTCCATGGGACTTCAGAAGCACCAGCAGCTTCAAATATCTGTTTGCTGCTATGCAATGGTATTTTAGCAGCTGCTCTCTTGATCCGATGCGTGGATCTGGCAGAAATCTTCCTCAATGTGCCTTTATCTGCACGAACCCGTCTGTGCTCTGAATCAGCCACAAATCTCTTAATAGTGCGATGATCATGCTTAACCTCGTCCAAGGCATTGAACTATTTCACTTTTTTCGGCAGCAGAGGCATCCTTTTTCTTCCCCATATTGCATGAAAATGGTGCTCTGCTTAATAATGTGGAACACCCTCCTTTAGTAGTTTTTCCTTTAATTGGGCTCACCTGGCAATCTAATTATCACACGTGTCCGAGATTGTTTTTGGTGATCAAAAGAGCCCTGAGACACAATGCCATCCATGAGTTAAACTGAAAAACAAAATATTTAATCTTTGTGACACTTAAATAGAATTTGCATAATAATTTGGAATAGGGTGTATTCTCAATTATACATAGCACCATTATTCTGTTTTAATCCTATGTGTGCCTTTGATATCAGCTTTGTTCTTACCAAGTAAGTACCACTAATATACAAGATAAAACAGGTGATGGTGCACATTGACCCTGGACATTTGATGCGTTTCAAAGCTCGAGAAACATGATCTAATAAAAGGAAGCAAAACAAACATGTTTTCCTTTCCATTTTGTGCTGCTGTGTGTTAGAAAAAAAAGACATTTATATAGTGTCACATCTTGACCTCATATTTTTATGGTACAGCAGCAAAAAAAAGCAAAAATGTTCAATGCTTCCTTACCTGAAAGGTAATCTCCACCAACAATGCCTCACACACTAGTGGTATTTTTTTTTTTTTTTTAAATGTGAGTGTGTGAATATATAGTTTTACGAAGATTATACATTTAAAATCCAGTTGTATGCTATGAGTCCTTCTAGCCTTTCACTAGATTTCTAAAGGCTTCTCAAGCAGAAATTCAGCTGTGGCTGATTTTACACCACTGTTGATGTGACATCTCGTTTGGCCCCACCTCACACACCCGGAGCCAAGCAACACAGTATCTCTACAGGCCTCACTTCACATACCCAGAACGAACAATAAAGAATTGATCCGAACCAACCAGTACAGAATCTCTTCAGACCTCATTTCACACACCCAGAACCAAGCAATACAGAATCTCTTGATATTTTACACGTATCTGTAACTCTCTGTAAACGTCTTTTAGCCATCACTTCCAAAATCCCCCTGCTACCTCTTGTCTCTAATCCCCATTATATCCTTTAGATTGCAAGCTCATGGACTATCTAACTAAGCACTTTGTATGAAATAGCTTCAATGACTAGAGGCTTTGTATTTGTCTGTGTATATTGGATGTTCTCCCCTAATTGTACAGTGAGGCAGAATATGTTGGCACTTTATAAATGCCGGCAATAAATAAAAATAAATATGTTCCCTCCATTCGCATTATGATATTTTTGTTAGATGCCTCAGTTGTAAGTGTTGAAATATACACTGTGGTGGTTTATGTAATCCCCTATTATATATTTTGCTTTTGACTTATCGTTTCGCAGTTTTTTAGGAGACACACATGGACAGAGATTCATTGTATTAATTACACGTTTTTAGACAGTTTATTATTGTTTTGAGTTTTAGGGTTGGAATTAGGACATAGTATATTGTGGGTTTTAAGAGATGCTTTAGTCTGGGGGTATGCAACCTTGTTGTGGACAACATCTCCCATATTGCTCTTAACCATACTACTGGCAAAGCATCAGGGGAAATGTGGTCCAAAATCTAAAATGCAGCTTAGTATATTAGTGATCCATTTTGTGTATAATCTGATAGCAGCCATCTTATGGTTACTAACAGTTGAGTAATGTAATTCTATTCACACCAGAACTGTAAGTGGATGATAAACTACTTACTCCCTGCTCGGCAAGGGCTGTGGGATAATGACCATAATGAGATGTTCCTGGGTGGATCATGTCTTATTGGTGCAGCCATTAAACTGAAAAACTGCTACTCTCACTGTAGTTAAAATTATAACTGTGTCTACTTTTAGAAGATAGTTACAGAATCACAAACCTTCAGAAAAGATTGGAAGTTGAAAACTTGCGAGCTAAGCTTCTTTGTAGGTTAGAAGGAAATTAAATACAGAGAATAATGAACAATACACAATGAATCCTGCACATTTAATTTTTCTCATGACACACTCAATAGAAACTAACAAGATTTTGAATTTGTTTCAAATTACGAACAGGGAAACAAAATAAGTCAGTGTAGATAAGGATTTGGTGTAATTTTGCCTGTCAAGAATTCAAGATTAAAACACTCTCTGGAAGCCAAGTGAATAAAAGAACACAAGAGGTTGGATAGTAGCAAACACTAATAACAATACCCCGTTAAACAACAATTATACTTTGGTATTTTGTTTTGTATTAAAAAAAAAGTGCTTGTGTGATTGTTATTTTCAAATAAAATTGTTCTGTAAAGATTTAAGTGATAATTATATTTAATGACATTTAATTGAAGGAGCATAAATTGGTGGACAGTAGGGAATAAAAGGAATAGAGAGCTTAACCCCTCAAGGACACATGACATGTGTGACATGTCATGATTCCCTTTTATTCCAGAAGTTTGGTCCTTAAGGGGTTAAAGGAACACATTTAGGGATGTGAGAGCAGGAAGCACTAAGAGAAGGAAGGAGAGAGCTCTGTGTAGGTTTGGGAGGCAGGAGTAGGCAGAGGAGAAGTGAACAGGAACAGGAGACACACATGGGAAAGGGCATGGCTGATTCTAGGGTCACAGATGCCTGAGCGGAGAATTATTTTATTTTTTGCACCCCAGATGGGTGTGATCATCTTACTAATTTCCCCCTCTACAAATGTATAGTCCAGTACAGGCAACAACTCCATCTCTCCATCTATAAGCACCACCCCATTTTGTAGTCAGACACACACTCTCACTGACAAACACATACTTACTGACAGTCACACACTCTTACTAATTTAATATACACTGAAACACACTCTCAATAAAAAACAGACTGTTACTGATTTATAAACACAATCACTGATAGACACACACACTCACAGATAAACACACACTGACAGACTCGCGCTGATTTGAAACACACTCACTAACAGACAGACACACACACACTTACTAACAGACAAACACACACACTCACTCACAGACACAAACACACACTAACACTCGCTGACTGACAGACACATAATAACAGACACACATACTCACTGACAGACAGACACACAATAACAGACACACAAACTCACTGACAGACACAAACTGACAGAAACAGTCACTCATTAACACACTGACACACTCTCACTGTTTTGAAACACACTCACTAACAGACACACTCACTGACAGGCACACCCACTTACCGACAGACACACACTAACAGACACACATACTCACTGACAGACACACACTAACAGACACACATACTACATACAGACAGAATCTTTTCACTGGACTTCAGTGTGGATCTTCTTGTTGGGGTTCAGTGGTGGTCTTTTTCCTGGAGTCTAGTGGCTCCTGCAATCTTCCTGACATCCTCACTCCTCCTTTAGCTCTGTTTAGGGATGCCTGGGCCAGAGTGACATTATAGTCTGGCTCCCAGAATTACTGCAGGGAGCAGTAAGGAACTGGAAGAGTAAGAACATCAGCTCTATCTCGCCGCCTGCCTGCTCTCTCCCCACCAGTATATTTTGTCAGAGAAGGCACCTGATGGCCAAGTAAGCAGGTGCCTACTTGAATAAGCACCCACCCGGCCACCTCTGGACCAAGGATCAGCCCTGGGAAAGGGACAACAGAAGCAGACATATTATGTGAAAGAAAGTTGGGTACAGAAATGTGGAGAAAAGAAACCAGGCAAGAAATAGTTAAAAACCATTGGAGAAGGTCTAAGTAGGGCATGAGAGAAACCTAAAAAGTCAAGAAATGGGAAAAAATACCCCACAGGGAGGGAAAGCATGAGAGGGCCAACAAAATTAATTTTGTATTAGACTTGGAAAATTATTTTAAATTATTCACCTGAATTTATCCCGATCTGTGATTCAGCTGAAAAAACAAAATCTGAGCCGTCACATGTCCTAATCAGTCAGTTTTGTCTTTCTATTTTTATTTAGAGACCCCACCCATCGCCCTTGGTGGGGGGTGGTGGGAGAGTTTAAGTCCCCTTCATTTATTTTAATTATAGTCCTCACCCTCAGGCAATGTGTGTGGTGTCACAGAGAGTACATTATGCTCCCTCTGCATTTTATATTTAAAAGCTCACCATGGGAGTGCAGGGCAGATATTATGTGCCCTTCACATTATTTATTTAATATATAGCCCAACCGTGGGAGCACTGGGGTGGGACAGTGAAGCCCCTATCCGATGTCCATTAATAGCTGCCCAGATGCTAGTCTTTTATTGGTTGCTTGCAGTTTATCAGATATGCCCCCACTCGCAGCAGGGAAAGTGGAGGCATGAGGGAGGTAAAAAAAAAAAAGCCTCCATTGAACGA